GAGAATCCTGATGAACTTTCTCGGCCAATGCAGGAATTGAACACGTGACCCCCAGGCTAGCGAGCCAGCATCTTACCCACTTAGCCACTGTGGCTCCAGAGAGGAAGGAGTCACAAGATTGTACTATTTACAGTACCAGTACAGGTAAATAAGAGGTACCATATATAGGCCTACTTGTTTTTGTTAAAGGTTACTGATTATTGACCATCTAGAGGCACATCTGGGCTTTCATGATAATTAATGATAATTAATATAAGTTAATTAATGATGAGATATTTATCACCATGGATTAGGTTGTTAATATACAGTCAATCTAAGAGTTAATGTACATTACATATTAAACGTACGATATACAATAGAGTGGGCTCAACCACATTATGTCATTTACAAACATAGTAAAGTAGTACATAATAGATCGGTAGAGAAATTGGTGGTTTGTGCAACTGAATGAGAGATTAATGAATGGAGTTTAACGTCCTGCTGTTCTGCTCCGAAGGGGCTAATGAAGAGGACATGCTCTGACTGGGCTAATGAAGACAGGTGAATGAGAGAGAAAGTTGTTATATGGGGAGAGAGAGAGAGAAATGGGGTTTAACGTTCTAACGTCCACTCGACACAAACCAGGTAATTGCGGGACTAACATATAGTTTAATTATATTTCAAGAATTTGTTTGCGCGTAGGGGTCTTTAGCAGTGGGAGGAAACCGGCGGACCCAGCGAAAACCCACAAGGTTGGAAAGGCGACCCTACTCCTTGTCACGTACCATATCGAGAGTAAAAACAGAAACGACTGAATGTAAATCAGTTTATACGTATTCATACTACATTATTATATGCGTTGCGACCAATCTGTGTCAATTTCTAGGTGCCCCATTAGCGATTTAGCACCTTTAACGACCTACTTTTCTGCACGAACCTTGCTAATTGGGATCACAAGTTTCCTTAGTAATTGAACTGCCTCACTGGGACAATCAATGTAAAGATAATGTATTTTGCTAATTTATTGTCACATGTACTGTACATGTAGTAAAGTGACAATGGCACCAAATTACAAAGCTTATCGCACAGCATTGCCTCAGTTCAAACAGAAAGAAGTGAAACATTTAATGAGAATTCCGCAGATTTCTTTTCACTACCGGTATATTAGAAAATTGTAAGCTTGGATTTACTTGAAATAGATTGTTTCTTTTAACAGATAAAGTTACCCAATGCTATTCCCACATCACTATAACACCACAGATTTGAGAGAGAGAGAGAGAGAGAGAGAGAGAGATTTGTATTCTATTACAAAATAAATTATCATTACATGCAATGCAAACATTCTGCTCTTACACATTCATAATCAAAATAACATTAACAGTTGTTATGCAACACAAGGGAACAAAGAGAGAGAGATGGGGTTTAACGTCCACTCGACACAAACTAGGTCATTTTGGGACTAACATATGGTTCAATTTTATTTCAATAATTCGCTTGCGTGTTTGTCTTTAGCAGTGGGAGGAAACCAGAGGACCCGGAGAAAACTCAGGAAGCTGGATCATAGATTTGTTGTACAAATAAATGTTATTTTGTAGGCTGTATGTTTTTGCCAAATAAATTAATATATCTTCATGTACATGTACCTTATAGACATACAAACCAAAGAAGTTTCTATACAATGTAACCTGGGCATTTATTCAACATCAAATCTTTGAAATTTCATAAAAATCATCTGATCTAAAATCACCTAAATTGTACTTGTGTCCAGTTTAAAGCTGACCATTTATTTTGAGAATGAGCTTCCAATTAAAATGACAGTCCCAATTTATCATTGTACATTAACAATCAATTGGGTAAAGTGACCAGGAAATTAAACAAGTGTAAATTTGAAGCTCATTATCAATAATATGAATAAAAATGAAATGAAATGGGGTTTAACGTCCTACTGTTCTGCTCCTATACTGGGCTAATGAAGACGGGCATACGCCATACAGTGTGCTATGAGGGAAATTTTGCCTGGGCAGCGGCACTATCGTCTACTCTTATATCAAATTCAAACTGCCAAGGGATCTTTTACGTGCATTCCAATGTATACACGGTACCTCGGTTTTTCGTCTCATCCGAAGGACTAGACAGCTTTCCTTGCCAGGCCCTCCGTCCTGCATCACTGACAAGGGGGAACCACGCCGGAAAATCTGGATGAACTTTCTCATCCAATGCAGGGATCGAACACCCGATCTCCAGGCTAGCAAGCCAGCGTCTTACCCACTTAGCCACGTGATCCCCTAATATGAATATAAAAGAAATTGGGGCTAAATATCATCATCCGGGTTTTAAGGACTTTTGTATTGGCAACTAATTTAAATTACTTTAATCTGAACCAAGTTATCACTGTTTGTAGTTTTGGCCAGATGTGTGCATTGATTGTTTATTATCGTAACCACGATACTGGTATATTTTCAAGACTTAGACTCGCTTCTCCAATTTTAAATTAATTCATTAAATGGCCGAATAGTTTTAATCTAGTTAAAATTTTGAGTATCTGATGGCATCAAGAGTTGATTATTCTCTTGTCATGTTAATAAATATCTAATTAATAATTCATATTTAAGGCCTATAGAAATTTAGCTGCTCTTGAATAATTTATTTTTAAATGTCTCCTGGGTTACCGTGATCAATAGCCCCTTTAAATATAAATTTGAAGTTGTAAAACTTGAACATATTACAAATATTAGAAACTTATATATGAGCAGTATACTTGACAGTTGACATCTTTCATACATTTGTAGATCAAGAATGAGTTGAATTTTTTGACCCACAAGCATCAATCATACCAGAGACACTTTTACACAACAGGTGTCATGGCAGTTATACAAACAAAAGGGATAAAGGTTCAATGCAAAAAATGAGCAGCGTATCTCAATGAGCAAGACGCTACATGTAGCTTTCAAACCAGGAAGTCTTGAGTTCGAACGTCCCAGGGTTGGTTGAGAATTTTCTATACAGTTACACCTTGCCAGTATTGCCAGACAGAAAGCCTGGCAAGACGGAGGGCCTGGCAAGAACAGTGTCTAGTAGTTTGTTTGGAACGGAAAATCAAAGTCCTGTGGTGTGCATGTAAGATCCCTTGACATTTGGAATTTGGGTAGGCCATACTAATGCCGTTGTCCTGCATTTCTTTCTAATTCCATCTGCCGAGGGTACAGCACCCAGTCATTCGGATGGGATGAAATAAACCCAGGTTCTATCTATGTACATGTAGGCCCTATTTATTTATGTTGACGTTTATACATAAAAGAACCATTGATGGTTGGAATCGCTGAAGAATATGCCTATATATAAGTATAATTTCACACATAGGCTACACCGCATAGCGTGCATGTAGGCCTGACTTCTTTAGCCTGGTTGTGGTAGAAGAGTAGGGCATTAAATAACATTTCATTTCATAGAACAAAGAATATTTATTGTTCAAGAAGCGAGCTTGATACTTGTTTACCTCTAGGTATACAATAACTACAAACCAGGCCTGTAGCCAGCTTGCTAGCTTCGGAGGGGCAGTGGAGTTTTTAGGGGGGGGGGGGCACACCTGGCACAGTCTACAGTAGGTATTTTAGAGCTATGGTCGACAATTTATTTTTTCAGGGGGGGCAAAACATTTTTTCGGGGGGGGGGGGGCATTGTCCCCCTCTGGCCACGGGCCTGCTACAAACTATGTTTATTCTTTGTAGAACATTTGATAACACTTCTTACTGAATTGCCAGGTTTATTTACTGTAAATCTGCTGCCTTTTTAAGAAAAACTAATCTTGGCTTCCTCAAAGTGTTTTTAATTAACTCTTGCTACATGTACATGTACAACATGTACATATACCTCTGGTTTGTTTTATTTGGTTTCCAGAGCCACGATGGATCAGTGAGCAAGACGTTGGCTAGCTAATCTAGAGGTCCCATGTTTGATCTCAGTGTTGGCAAGGAAAGTTGATCTGGACTTTCTGGCATTGTTCTCCCTTGTCAGATGTGCAGGACAGAAGTGACATTGGAAATGAAATGAAATGGGGTTTAACGTCCTACTGTTCTGCTCCTATACTGGGCTAATGAAGACGGGCATACGCCATACAGTGTGCTATGAGGGAAATTTTGCCCGGGCAGCGGCACTATCGCCTACTCTTACATCGAATTCCAACTGCCAAGGGATCTTTTACGTGCATTCCAATGTATACACAGGACCTCGGTTTTTCGTTCATCCAAAGGACTAGACAGCTGTCCTTGTCAGGCCCTCCATCCTGCATCACTGACAAGGGGGAACCAAGCCGGAAAATCTGGATGAACTTTCTCGGCCAATGCAGGGATCGAACACCCGACCTCCAGGCTAGCGAGCCAGCGTCTTACCCACTTAGCCACGTAATCCCCAAGTTACATTGGCATGCAAGTAAAAGAACAGTTGGAATTTGAAAGAAGAGTAGGCTGTAGTGCCGCTGTCCAGGCAAAATTTCCCTCATAGTCATATAGCAAATTGTGTGTATGCCCGTCTTCATGCACAGTCGGTACAGAATAGCTAGTAGGTCGATAAACCCATTTCAATGAGTTTCATGTAATTAGTTTAGTTTCTCTTTTTTAAATATTTAATTATGTTAGAGTAGGGCTATATTTTATCTCTTCATCTTTGCACAACTAACATGTTTTATTGTAAAAGAACAGCAAAAACTGGTTCACATAGGGCGATAGGCTACATGCTATGCATTATTAATTCATTTACCACTACATATATACATATACTGTATTGCACATAACAGTAGCCTATTATACCAATCACTATAATACACATCTGTTGGTTAAGTGTTCAAATAGCAACCTTATTATGTATTGTTTATTATTCATTATATGTCAACAATAAAGCTGCTGTCAATGTAATATGAATAGTAATGGTATTATGAGCGTACAAACAATGTATGTTTAAATATGTGTGCCGTATGCAGTGTACCGTTATAAAATCATCCATGGCATCATACATAATATACTTACATCTTCGAATATAGATCCAACATTAGCGCTAATTAACAGCGCGCGAATATTTTCCTCATCCATTTGAGCTCATCTGGGCATTAATCCTTATTTTAAAGAGTGATTACGAGAATAAAGTATGTTAAACTTAGCCATCAGTCCTTATTATACACGATATAATCAAATAGACCGTATTTATCTCGACTGTCCGACATACACTCAATGTTTCAATGGATATTGACGTTTGACGTCACAATACACAGCGCCCCATCAGAAGGGAGATAATTCATAGCAGGTGCGTGAATCGTCTTTGAATCAACTGTCAAAAGTAACGGTATTTAATAATGCACATTGTGCTCATTGTGTTAAGTTTAAATATACCCGTTACCAATCAACACATCGCCCAAGCAAAACAAAGTGAGACTGAGAGAGAGAAATTGGGTTTAACGTCCACACGATACAAACTAGGTCATTTCGGGACTAACATTTGGTTCAATTTTATTTCAATAATTCGCTTGCACGTAGCAGTTGGAGGAAACTGGAGGACCCGGAGAAAACCCACGAGGTTGGACAGGCGATCCTTGTCACGTACGTACAACCGGGGAATCGAAACCACACCAAACCTTATGATACAACGCGTACGCGCTAACCAATCGTCTATCCACCCCCCCTTCCCCCATACAAGCAAAATAATCTCGATAAGACAAACACGCGGACATGATAAACTACACAGACATTGTAAGAAATAAACAACAAATATCAATTCAAGTAAATCACAAAGGAAAAAATATATGCGTGAAATTGTAGACACATCTATTGTAGATCTAGTGTATACTTCTGGAAGTGTAGATTACATTAAAATAAGTCAACTGTGAAATGAAATGTGATTTAACTTTCTACTAGTCTGGATCAACCGGAATAATAAAGATGGACATTGATCATGTAGTCATGATCGAGGAAGTTTTACCCGGACAGCGCGGTTTTTGCCAACTCCTTGTCAAATCCTTTGGGCCAATTTCAGTGCTTCCCATGGTCGCTTCCGCAGATACGCCACGACACGGACAATCTCTCCTTTTTTTAAATCCGTCTCTATCAGCCCGGGGGGGGGGGGGTAGAGCAGGAAAGATTTGATGTCATTATATTATTGGGAGATGCTATATAATTGTAGGCCGGTTGGGGAGATTCAGGAATTTCCGGAGTCCACAATGGTCGCTTTATATAAATGAGTATTTTGTTGAATACTAGCCATAACCCTAACCGTTTTAGAAGACTTGGACCCAATTTACCTTTAACCCTCTAATAAGGGAGATCTATAGCAATTATGGAGCCAAGATCTACCACATCAAAAACAGGGGCGGATCTAGGAATTTTGAAAAGGGGCGGCGCCGCAAAATAAGGGCACTGACCGCGGAGACGGGGCACGCCGCTGAGAGGGGATTTTTTTTTTTTTTTTTTTGGCGGGGGGGGGGGCAAGAAAATTATCCGTCATTTCCTTGCATCTGTAGCCATTCCAAGAGCTATTTGGCTGATATTTTCGTCTAAGTAAACGTTCGGAAATCGTTGAAAAAGAGCCTTAAAATCGAGCAAAAAAGCCAGTTGAACATGCGACTCGAAAATTGTCAAGGCGAGCGAGGCATTATGATGGGAAAAAAGACGAATCTATTCCCTAGCCACTTAACTAACTTGTACTTTGTACTGTCCACACATGAAACAATGCTACATCAAGTTGCACTCATGCGCGTCGGTGATGGGCATGAGTGTATACGCCGCCGATTCCACAAGATGTCTGTCTATAGTCACTCTATAGGATTAGGGCACCGTCAGCTAAACAACAAGAATTCGTTTGAAAGTGCAGGAAGCATTAATTAGACCAGACTGGTGTGTTTGAATCGATGGTTTGAGTCATTTGAGATCCCTGCAACGGGTTGGGAACGAACATATTTGGGTCTGAGAAAGGGCACTTTCAGCAGTAAAAAAGGGCACTGTCGAAAATTAGGGGGGGGGGGCGCCCCTCGCGCCCCCCTTAAATCCGCCTCTGAAAAACAGATCAACCTGAACTACATGCGACCTGCACCAGAGCAAATGGTAATACACGCCGGACTCAACAACAGTGAGAAAGCTGGACCAAGGATATACGAGCAGATGCTATATCTACTCGAAGTGGCTAGGTAGAGCAGCTTTCCCAACTACCAAGCTCTACACCACACAGATCCCCACGTCTTCGCGACTCCGACAAGAAAATCCGATCGCCTACCCGAACATCGCAAGCTTCAACAAACTGATTTTCAATACACCTTCACTAAGCGCCACCACACTACCAAACTTCAAGGGCGAAATAGAATTGAAAGGTAGCGACACCATCCACTGGATCGCAGACGACCAGATAGATCATCAATTGTTGGACGAGGAATTTAAACTAGGATCAGGGAAATGGAACGAGAAGCCGTCTTGAGGACAGACAGTTGTCAATCTCATCGACAGACTCCTCAGCCCCCGATAGAAATTAACATTCTTGACAAATTTATGGTAACCCTCACAACAACATCCATAGACCCCATTTCTCAGGCAACCCATCGCTTCCAAAGATCCCTATCATAAACTTATTTTTAGGAACAAACCCGACAGAGGATATTTACAGAAAAATCTACGTGGAAACCACCTAAAAATTCATTATCACCAGCCATTCTAAAAACTTTCGACCAAATGAACACAGAAATATTATCCCTTCAATCACAATCACAAAAACCAAATGTGAACCGGGAAGTCAAAACAGAATAAAACACCCTAAAAGAATGACAAGAACATAGTAATCAAGAAAAGTGACAAAGGCTCATGTTGTGCCATAAGGAATCACACAGACTCAGGGGCGGATCAAGAGGGGGGGGGGCTGCTCAGCTACATAATTTTTTTTGTAAATCAACACTTTTTATGAGAAACGTTTCTGGGCCGTGTGCTTTATCCTCTATCGTCAGATGTGGGACAGGATGGACACTCATAGCACGAGATAATGATATAAACATTATGTGATATCACAATTAATGATTTGCATGAAATTGAATCACAATGTCATTGTATTAATTCATAATAAAAATTGACGTCAAGCGAGGTGTTGAATCTCTGTTTAAAAAGCTCAATGTGTATGTATATACGCCAAAATGACGATAGAGACCATGCGGGAGGGGGGGGGGGATACATTGTCTCAGGAACCTGGCAAACCCCCTCCTGCAAAAATACCTGGATCCGCCCCTGAGCAATATCCCGCGGGGCAGAAACTTAATTAAATAACACTAAGTAACATTAAACGAAATTACACCAACCCATCTTTAAAGATGCCGCAACCTTAATAAACAACATCTTGTGTGATTTACAGGACAAAATCACAAAAAATACATAACAGCAAAACAATCTGATTATTTATCCGCCAAATCTGACTACCGACAACGATATCTAGTATCAAAAATACACAAAACTCCAGGAACAGAATGGTATATATACATGTACCTAATACATTACCCAAGCGGCGCCAAATTATATCAGAATTTTGCAGCGAATCATACATCGTGTCTCAATATATCGCCCACTTCTTATTACCCCTAGCATTTCAACACGCTTTATACCATAAAGACACCAACAATTTTATTTACAAATCAAACAGTTAAGAGTCCCAGGGCACACCATCCTAATACCCATCGACGTACAGAGCATGTACACGAACATCGACAATTACACAGGTCTTGAAGCAGTCAGGAAAGCATTCCTTAGGAACCCGCAAGCACCTAGGCCGGACGAAGAAATCCTCAATTTATTCAACGACCAAGTATACCTTTAGGCTCCCGGAACGGCTATGGGAAAACGATTTGCCCCGAGTTATGCAAATCTCTTTATGACGGACTGGGAAAGTGAAGATCCACCACTCTGCCTTTTAAAACCAGATTCCCATGGACGTTTTTTTTAGACGTATACACTAGAAATTCTTCAACATTCTGAAAAACATTCCACCCATCTGTCAATCTAATTAAAATACAGATCTATATTTCCTTTCGTTTTTTATACTTTCAATGGCCTACACTACATGAAGATCTGGCCGGCTGTACTGAAAAGTCGCGTCAGAGCTCGTACGAGCGGCTTTTGACCCTATGAAGCCAGACATTGATTAATCAATCAGCGTTGACGTTTCTAGTGGTTTACCCACAGTTCAGTGCATCGTACGCCAAGAAGTCACCGTAACAGATGGTTACATTGGCTAATCCCTCAACGCGGATTATATAATAACTCTTCCAGATCCTAGTGTATTAAAGACAAGTAAAATGAAATTTTGAACTATAAAAAACGAAACGAAACAGGGTCTGTGTTTTAACCAGATTGCCCATCTGTAAAATTAACCGCAAATGAAAGTCATAACAGTATAGATTTCCTTGATACCACCGTATTTATAAGCAGCAACACAATAAACACAGGCCAATTAGAAACGAAAGTATTTTTCAAAGACACCGACACACATCAACTATTGTTCAAAAGTTCTTTTCATCCAAAACATACGTTCTCTGGCATAATAAAATCTCAAGGTTCTCCGTTTTCATAGGATATGTACACAGAAGGACGATTTTGAGTCGGCATGTATTCTAGTCTTTGGCAAATTAAGGGAATGGGGTTACTCCAAATGATATCTCCTTCGCATACAAAACAAACCTCTAGCTGAACTTACCGCCAAAGAAACAAACTATTACAATTATCATTTAAAACCAAACCTTGTGGCCACCTCAGATGTCAGACATGCAAAATCATAAACATATCCGATCACTTTTATAACCCAAACATCTGGCACACAATTCCCAATATTAGACCAACTTTCGTGCAGCAGTTCAAACATAATTCATCTAATTTCCTGTAGACAATGTAACAAACAGTATGCACTAGGGAAAGAATTAACGGTCGCGTTCAGATACTGTCCAAAAAAGACTCAATTCACTTTAACCAAACAAATCACGAAATTTCTATTCTCACAGTCACGCCAATAGAAGTCTAAGGATACACTAAGAAACACAATAATGTGGCTCTCACCGGAGAACCTTAATTTAATTTTATTCTTTCCTTCAGAAGCAAAAATACCAGAAGACCACCAGCGCGCCACCCACAGAAGACCATCAACGCCACTACCACCAATTTAAAATAGCTACCACAGCAGCAAGCCAACTTTGTATACAAATTTAATGTATAT